GGACCTCATCTGTCAGGTCGCAGTTAGCGTGAACGAAAAGCAGCCAAGGGCTTGTCACACGAGCGGGGCTTTTGGAAAATGCGCTTGACATTGCTGATATTATTTTGTCCTTTTTCCCAGAAGTAAAAAATAACAAAGTCTCTGTAGCTGTTTGCAATTTTCCTTGTGAACAAACATCTTTTGTTAGCGTGTTACTAAGCAGGCCTGTAATTTTCTCTTCTAACGCCCTCATTTCCCTAATAATTACCATAAATGCAGAAACTTCTGGTACAGTTCCAGCTCTTTTCAAGCAAAACTCATAAATAAAAATATTGTAACTGAAGTTTATTTCTTTTGTTAGATGTGAATACTATGAATTACTCTGTTTGCAGGTCTGGAGAGCAAGTATGCAGACTTAGAATTAAACTAAGTGGAAATAAAACCAAAGCCCACGGAATGGGTGTGAACGTATACATCGTGTGACTCCTACACGCCTGACCCGTGTACTATACTGTCCTAGCATGGACTACTGAGGCCGGGAAACAGGGCTTTACACAAGACACGGAGCAGGGAGGTCGAGCGTTCAAGGAAGAGCGGGCACGATCCAACAACTGGTTGTGAGACCCACACTTATCCCCAAGGGTTCCATCACTGAAGCTGCATTGGTGTAGGCAGGAGTTTATAGCCCTGAGGACTAAAACGAAACAGAAAACTGTCAGATCTGGAAAGGCCACAGAGGCCGTCTGATAAAGGGCCCATCCAGCGCAGGGCCTGGCAACAAGGGACGGCCACTTTGTCTCCCTGCGCTCTTTCCACGCCAGGCCAACTCCCTGCCCATGAGGCACCCTGCTCTACCGTAGGACGCCTCTAACCCAAACCACTTCACAGGTCTCCCTGGCACCGAGCTGTAATCCACCCGCCATCTGCTGGGACCGGTTATTGCAGCTACAACAACAGGGAACAGAATCTCTGCCCCTGTGACCTGGCTGCCTTTTAACATCCAAAGCTGTCACCATGCCTCTAGCACCCGAGGTTTCTTCTCCAGCCTGGACGTCCCGGTTCCATTAACTGGTTTCCAGGGTCAGGTGGCCATGTGGCTCCATCCTTCAGGGCTCTCTCTCACTTTGTTACTGCTCCTTTTAAAACAGTCCTAAGAACTGAGGACCTCATGGCTTTGTCCTCCATAGAATAATGACAAAGCCAGACTCACTCTATGGTTTTCATTGAAGTTACCCAAATGGAAAGTAATAAAAATTTCAGCCCAGAGGGCACCAGACTCTGGCTGAGCACAGGAAATGAGTGCTACAAAGGACTGTCACCCCTATTCCTAGAAATAAAAATAAAGAACCTTTCTCATAATGAAAGTGTGCAGAGTGATATCCTCAATTTAGATGAGGGATCATACCAGAAAACTTAGTTATATAAGAGTGTCATCCTCAGCGTGTCTGTATCCTTAATTCACCTCGACTCCTCCTCTGTCTGCGGTTCTATTATCTGACATTGTCGCCTCCACCTTGAGAGGCTCCTCTCCTTGCCTGACACATGACAGGGACCTTCTCCACCCTTGCCTGGTGTCCTCCTGACGTGTCCCCATGAGGCTCAGGTATTCAACCTGCCTTCCACGGAGGCAGAACGAGGCTCGCTCTGTCTGAAGGTGGCACCCCAGCCTGTCCCCACTCCCTCCTGCTCCTTCCTCTGCCGCCTCCTCCCCTCTGGCAGGTCGGCGGTGCTGAGCAGAAACCAGCCCTGGCGGTGGGTAAGGAACCAGCACTGAGAAGGCACCAGCGGGAGCAGCCACTTGCACCCAGCACGGGGTGGGAGGCTCAGCGCACCTTGGGCCACAGGAGGTACACAGTGTCACGCATAGTTATTCTCACTTCTCTCTCGTCCTTTATCTCAAGTGCTCCTCATTGCGGGGTGGCTTGTGCCCCCTCAAAAGAAGTTAAAGTCCTAACCCCCAGTACCTGTGAGTGTGACCTTATTTGGAAATAGGGTCTTTGCAGATGACCAAGTTAAGATGAGAGTGTTAGGGTCCATCGGGGCCCTAACCCAATATGACTGGTGTCCTTATAAAAAGGGGAAACTTGGACAGAGACACAGACACGCACAGAGAGAAGGTGATGTGAATGCACAGGAGGAAGATGCCAGCAACAAGCCAACAGGAGGCCTGGAGCAGGTCCTTCCCTGGGCCCCTGGAGGAGCACGGCCCTGCTGCACCTTGACCCTGGGCCCCTGGAGGAGCACGGCCCTGCTGCACCTTGACCCTAGGCCCCTGGAGGAGCACGGCCCTGCTGCACCTTG